TAAAAAAATATATACTATATATTTGTAATAAATCGAAATACACGTTCTAATCATACTCTTTTGGTTTGCACTCAAATCGGTTTTCACAAATTTTTGGATTATTACTTAAATCCATGTTTTTAAATAATATATTACTATATCGTTCCTTGTGTAAGTTTACATAAATAAAAATATCATTTGATATCAATTTTATTTTTATATTTTATATAGATATTTTATATTTTTTTGATTCATAGCTATCCAAAATACTAATGGTTGTTACAAATATATATCTAGAAAACAAGTAACTAATCAGATAAGGATTTGAAAAATAAAATTGATAAGCATGATATTTTTAATGTCATGAGACAATTCAAATTCAAAAATCTATACTAATATAAAAAGGTTGTTGTTAAAATCATTTTTAGTAACTTTGACCAAAAAAATAAATGGGTTGACTTACAATTAGTAGAAATTTTGAAAAAATACATCTAGATCTTTAGTAATAAAATCTCATTTTTCTGTAACAAATTTGGAGATTCTTATGCCAAAATATGAATCTTATTTATTTTGTATCATTTTTTATTTTTTTTTATCAAATTTGAATCCTTTTTTTTTTGTGACAAGTTTGGAGATTCACGAAAACAAATTCAAATACAAATTAATTTAAAAATCGTGCAAATTGGATACAAATTTAGAAAATAAATAGTTGTATAATTCTTAACAAATTCTTTCAATCTTTTTGAATTATTTTTTCTTTAAAAAAATGTGTGCAAATTGAATAAAACAATTTTTATTTTAAAACAAAATTAAAATTTGGACTGGATATATATTCAAAATTGTATCCACCTTTTGGTAACAAAATCGGTTCATCTTTGACATTTAAAATCAAACCTTATCCAATTAATTAGGAAATAAAGTTCAAATCAAATCATGTGCAACTTTTTCAAATTTGAATGAACCGATGTTTTTGGATTCTTATATTTTTCTTAACCATGTTTTACTGAGAAACAGTTGCATAAATCTTAACAAATATTCCGATCTTTTATTAGAATTAATTTCAATTCAATTTGTTCAGTAAAAAAATCGCCCCAATGTTAGAAAAATTTGGTTCCATTTTTGGGAAAAATTGATGATTTTTTTTTTCACTTTGTTTTAACCAAACATTCGGATCAATTTGTTTGATAAAAAAATCAGTGTATTGGTATGAATATTCGGTTGAATTTTTAGGAAAAACAAATGATTCTTTTCAATCTTACTTAATCAAAATTCTGAATTAGAATTAAAAAAATGGTGCGAAAAAATCCTAAAAATCTTTATTTTCTTTCTACTATAATTTTGTTTAATAAATAAGATCCCTTAATTTTTTTTTAAATATAATTTATTAATTAATAACTAATAATACATAATTTTAGATAAAATTCGAACACTCATAAAGTATTTTACGTTCCAAAGAATCAAACTAAGAATGTTTTACATAAAGTGGTCAATAATATAAAAATTTCATTTTCATGATATTTTTAATGTAATGAGACAATTTAAATACACAAAGTACATTTTAAAAATAAAGTAGGTAATAATGCTCCCTTGCATCGCACGGGTACTGTACTAGTTAAGGTTGATGTGGTGTGTATGAATGATTGATTGATATTATTTAATTATATTGATAATATATATTGATGATAGTGAAATTGAGTTAAAGTTGAGTAAAAAAAAAATGTTTGCGTTCAAATGTTGGATTTTTTTTTTAAAGTTGTTCATCGGAATACCATCTTTTTCAGATTTGACAATGGAGTTAACCTAAAGGCAACATGAACTTTGTGTGAAATGGCTCAGTTCTGATTGTGTGGTAAAAGAATAATGCACTTGTCAATGGAACTATTCAAACAAAAAACGAATATATGCTCATATAGATTATTATTTATATTATTTTTTTGTTGTTAATTTAGCATTTTTCTCTGCAATATGTAAATTTAATAGTTTGATATCATCCTCTTTTAAAGGAGAAGAAAAAAAAAGTACTTGATCATGTTTGGAATGGTCGTTTATATAAATTTTGTATTTTTTTCTTGAGTAATTGACATATAGTGGTTCGAGATACTATATACATTTGTATCATTTTTAATTTCCAGTACCTGATATGTGGAATGGTTGTTTTACATCAGTTTTGCATTCTTTTTAGTATCAATTTTTAAAACTTATGTGAGGTAAATATATTAAACTATTATATATCACGTATTTTATATAAAAAAATCTATATAATGTGTATCCACTTTCTATTGTTTACTTTACCATTTTAGTATAATAAATGGTATGAAATCTTAAATTTATAAATATAAAAAAATGTTATTATTTTTTATATTTATAAAAAAAAAATGCATGTTGTCAGAATTAGGATTTTTATTAGTTTATCCTTTGATCATATATTTGAAGTTTCAATTATTGTATTGTCATTCTTATGTTCTTAACACAATTGTACAAACCAATATGGAAGATAAGAAAATAAATATTATTTTATTTAATTTTAATCTATTTTTTAATATACATTTGTAATTTATATTATAAGAACCTTGTACGGAATTTATTTTTTTTAAATTAATAATAATGGATACAAATTAATTTATTATTATATATGAAATATTGGTTTCAAATATTCTTTTTAAGGAGTATTGATTTAATATATTAATGAAATAATCTATGAATATTCAATTTAAAAATATAAATAAATAGTAATAAAAATACTATAAATGTTTGACTTAAAGGGTAAAATATGTAAGCACCAGAAGTAAAATACAGATTTTTAGTTAATAGGGCAAAAGTATTTACNAAAAAAAAAGATCCGTTGTACAAAGTTTTTCCAAATGGATATTTATATCAATTAATATATAACGGTTTAAAGATGAAACTAAAAAAAAAAAAATTGTATATCTAGGAAAATATTACTTACAGGGGAAAAAAGTTTATTTCAAATACTTTAAATTATATGTATGTGGATTTGCACCTTGTAATTGCACAAATCCAACCACAATATAATCTATACACCTGTATATATAATACTATTACCCATATTTCTCTCTATGTACATCTTAGTATTTTTTATATTTCATTTGATAAATCTGCATTTATGAAATTTCACAAATCATGACCATGAGCTTGTTTGAATGTCCATAAATTGAAACTAATTCTTGACCAAGTATTACATAAACAAAGAAAAAAAATACATATATAGATTTTTCCATTTTCTTTTTCATTTTCTCCATATATATTGGCAAACCTAACTATTATCCTAAACTCAATTGGTGAAAGGAGGAGTAGTCCATTAGACTTATAAATTAGCGCACCATGAGCAGAAAAAGTCCAGATGAAGCCCAAATAGGTTTCCATCCCAAAACCAATTGGTGGAAAGAGTAGTAGTCTATTAAACTTATAAATTAGACCATTTTCGGTTTTCCATATATAAACAATGTCGTACAACTCACAAGTGAATATTCTAATAATAATTTTTCAACATATATTCATACTAGATAGGAGATACTACTATTTTTCTTTTTAATTAAAAATGCAACACTAAAAAGTAAAAAATATATAATACTTCATAAAGTATGTATTTTTCTTAAAAAAAAAAAAAAATTGTGACCTATTTTTAATAATATAATATAATATTGTGTTATATACATAATCACTGTACAGCCGCCTTCGCTTTCTCCCAAAAAATTAATCAAGAATCGTTTTTTTCTCTGCAAATGTACATGCACACATTTTCCGTGTTCTCTCTCTAAATCTCCCCGTCTCTTTCTCTCTCCTCGAAGCTCGAAAAATTATATATATATACACATATTTTATTCCAAAAAGAATCATCACAAATATCAATAACTGGCTGTGCGAGGAAATAGGAACGAGCTGAAAAAGTAAAACGCAGTACAGAAAAAAACAGAGAAAAAAGTGGACATTTTAGTACAAAATTTTAATTTCCTATACAAATATTATCTCCTATTTGCTTCATTCTCCGGCGGCGGTTTTGCCTGCCGGAAGAAAAAAAAGAATCTTGTATGACGCCGACCTTTTTCTTCCTTTTTTTCGGATCATCGTCGTACGTTTGAGGGAGTTTGAAAGCCGTTCGCATTGAGTTTTTTTTTTTTGTTCGTTCGTGAANTTGTTCCTTGGTTATTTTTTGATGGGCTGCTCTGCATTTTCTTTTTTTCTTTTTTTTTTTTTTTGAATTGAGGTGTTTTGAATCGTGGGTTTTGTCTGAGGTATTGTTATTGTCATGAAAATGAAAGAAATTTTTGAAGATTGTGATTGTGATACACACTTTTCTGCTGTGTTCTTGATCGATAACAGTTTAATCTTTAAAGTTGATGGCTTTTTGAGTCCTTGGTGGCTAAAATGGCTTATTTTTTGTTCGAGGGAGTTTGAAAGCCCCCCACATTGAGTATCTTTTTCGTTATTGAATCTTGCTTTGTGCTCATTGTGGGTTTCGTTCGATGTCCAAATGTTCGATTTTTATTGTCGATTTTTGTTTTGTGTTGTGTCCTGCATGCTGTTCATTGGTTGATTTTTTATGGGCTCTGCATATATTTGATGAATTGAGGTGTTTTAAATCGTTGTTTATTTTGCGGTATTTTTATCAAATTGTGTGAAAGTATAGTTTTTTCAACTCTTAATCTTGTGTGTTTGTGGGTATGGAAATCAAATATCAAACACTTTTAGATAGTGTGGCCTAAAATAGAGCTTTTGAATTTCCTGCATGCTGCTTAGTGGTTGTTTTTAGATGGGCCGTGTGCATTTTTTATGTCGAATTGAGGTTCTTTTAAATCATGGGTTTTGTTTGAGGTATTGTTATTGTGTATTTTATTCATACTGATGCTAAAATTGAAGAAGGTCTTCTATAACCTATTTTATTTCTTCAGATAGTTGCAATTCATTAGCTCAAAATGCATCCATAGATCTTCCGAGCCGTTTATGTTTGTGTTCGTTTATTGAAGCCTAAAAAAACTGCTTGATTTCTAATAACCAGCACAATGGATCACATAAAGAGTCCTTTCAAAGGAATTGCAAATGATGTTAAAGGGAGGTTAAAATGCTACAAGAAGGATTGGCTCGATACGTGTGGTTCTGGTGCAAGGTGTCATTCTTTTTCATTTTTTTCTTGTTTGGAAAAATAAATCACAAATAATTTGTAACGCAAAACCTGAAGGGAGTAAAACTTATCTGATCATTAGGCTATAAACAATAAGGTTTAGCTTTTATGCATAAATTCAAAGAAATATTTGCTGAACTTACTATATATATCAATTTGTAAATCAGGATTTTAGCTCCAACAGCATACATTTTCTTTGCTTCGACTCTTCCTGTAATTGCCTTTGGGGAGCAATTAAGTCGAGAAACAGGTCAATCTTAAATTTCTAGCATGCCTTTGTTTTTAGCACTTTTTTTTTTAAGCTTAAATTCATTAATTTCTTTTCCCAAAATAATAGATGGGAGGCTTAGCCCGGCCGAGACACTTGTTTCGACAGCTATATGTGGGATAATCCATTCGATTTTCGGAGGACAGCCATTGTTGATCCTAGGAGTTGCAGAGCCCACCATTATAATGTACACTTACTTGTACAATTTTGCCAAGAGAAGTGTAGGAACCGAGCTATATTTAGCCTGGGCTGCATGGTAAGCACGAATTCAAAAATTGTTCTTATTTTTTATTTTTTTAGCTTAATTGAGCTTAAGATATCTTGTTTTGATTAACACATAGGGTCTGTGTTTGGACTGCTTTGCTGCTCTTTCTTCTCGCCATATTTAATGCTTGTACCATCATCACTCGATTTACGAGGGTTGCTGGGGAGCTATTCGGCATGTTGATCTCAGTTCTTTTCATTCAAGAAGCCATCAAGGTATTTATTAGTAGTCCAATTATGAGATTACTTTAGAAAACTGTATCATGTAACTTTAAAAAAAAAAAGAAAATTTAACTCACAGGGTGTGGTGAGTGAATTCGAAATTCCAAAAGGTGAAAATGCATCAGAAGAGCAATACAATTTCTCGTGGCTTTATACGAATGGATTACTCTCAGTTATATTCTCGTTTGGCGTGCTTATAACTTCCCAAAAGAGCAGAGGAGCTCGGTCCTGGCGGTACGGTACAGGTAAGAAAGAAAATCGTAAAACGCATTTCACTTTGAAGCTACTTAATCTAAAGTTTTGATCTTTTTTCCTTTTTTTTTTTCTCTTTTGTGCAGGCTTTTTTCGGAGTTTTATAGCCGATTATGGGGTCCCATTGATGATTGTAATTTGGACTGTATTATCTTATGGTGTACCGGGAAAAGTTCCTTCTGGCGTCCCGAGGAGATTGTTCGGTTCACTCCCTTGGGAAGCTAAATCATTGTACCATTGGACTGTTATCAAAGTACTAAAACCCGTAAAT